TTGGTTAAGCTTATAATGTTAACGTATGTGTATTGTTGTTATTACAGGCGTTTCTCAACAAAGACTAGGAGTTTTTGGTTCCCCAGTATTCCACAGACAATACCACAGTCCGTTGAAAGATGTTTGCTCTCAGTTACAGTTCTTGCCAGGTAATGAGTCAAAGAGCCATCTAGTGGGAGATCGTACAATTATTGCAGTTATTTCCCAAGAACTCCCCAGGTCTCTAAGTTTCACTTTTTGTCCTTAGTTTGGGTCCAGAGTCGAGGATTTAAGACTCTCAGATCAAGACCTAGACGCACACAGACCAGCAACGATGAATCAGTGGACTCAGAGCAGTACACCCCAACTTTAATGAGGGTACATGTGGGATTGTTCCAAATTGAGTTGCTGGTTGGGTTTTCTTCATGTCAAAGTCATTAACCTTTTTTTCTGTGTTTACGTCACAGGGTTTGTTCATGAAGGATAAAGAGCCAGAAATTCACTCTATGGAGCAAGTGATTCAACAAAAGAACCTTCCAGAAAATCAGCAGGAGGCCTTCAAGACAGGTTTCACCGAGGGCTTCATGAGGTCTCAGGCCTACACTCAAAAAGCACAAGGCATGTAGCTCACTCACTTCTTGTGCTCATTTAGGTGGTCAGACACATAATAAACCTTTGTTTTGTTTTGTTTTGACAGATTCACTAAGGAGAACCAGGATGATCCTCTTGGCTCTTCTCCTTATTGGTACTTTTGCTCTGTCCAAAACCTCCTTTCTCTCGGGTAAAGGCTCCTTTTCTGACGCTGGTTTGTTTCAGATTTTATTCACTTTTACACAATCAACAAACAACTCTACCTGTACACTGTGATATAAGACAGGACTTCAGTTTTTTTTGTCTTGCATATGATACAGTTTTCTGTGTTTTTCACAGTGAGGTTCCGCACCAGGTCCGGTTTCGATGCGGCACTCGACCCCATCCAGATGAAGAATGTGACATTTGATCATGTCAAAGGAGTGGAGGAGGCCAAGAATGAACTGCAGGACGTGGTTGAGTTTCTCAAGAACCCACAGAAATTCACTGTTCTGGGTGGAAAGCTGCCTAAAGGTGTGGAAACCTCACTCCCCAGGACAGCGCTGTTCAGAAAAAACATTCTAAACTACAGCTGTGACCAATCACCTGCTGTATGTTCTTTCTTCTCCTCACAGGAATCCTCCTCGTGGGTCCTCCAGGAACAGGAAAAACTCTTTTAGCACGAGCCGTGGCTGGAGAGGCCGACGTGCCTTTCTACTACGCCTCTGGATCAGAGTTTGATGAGATGTTTGTGGGCATCGGTGCGAGCCGTATCAGAAATCTGTTCAGTAAGTTTTTAGCGAAAGTGAACTCTTTTTTTTGGGAAATACAAAGATGTGGATGTTCTCCATGAACCCTTTTCGTTATCTTGTGCTATGCAGAGGAAGCCAAAGCTACTGCTCCGTGTGTCATCTTCATTGACGAGTTGGACAGCGTCGGAGGGAAGAGGATCGAGTCACCCATGCATCCTTACGCCAGACAAACCATTAACCAGCTGCTGGCAGAGATGGACGGGTCAGTTTTATTCATGGTCACACCTGATGTTAAATATTAATGTTAGAGATTTCATTTCCTCAATTATTGTATGTTTTACAGATTTAAACCAAATGAAGGAGTCATTGTTATTGGTGCCACTAACTTTGCTGAGGCTCTGGATAAGTATGTTGTTGTTTCTTGTTTTTTTTTTACTTTATGTTTTACTCAGTCCTTTTCAGTAGACTTTGTTGATTGTGGTACTTTAGTTCAGGACTCATACCAGACCTGAGTACTAGTTAGGTAGACTTGGACTCAGCTCAGAGTTAACTTAAATAAACAAAGACCAACAAACCCAGACTTGGACTCTGTCTTTCAAACTGATGTGAACCCTGGTGACTTGACTCAACTTGGACTTGGTCACTGAGCCACAGTGCTCTCTACTGTCACCTCTCCAGTAGGTGACTACGGTCAATGCCTCATATACTGTATACAGTAGTTAATCTGTGATGATCTGACCCACTTTTCCTACCTCCAGTAAACTTTGGTCTGTGACTGGACAGCATAAAGTTCTATTGACCTGTTCCAGTTTAGTTTATCTCAGTCTGCTAAATCATTGTATCATTAATCTTTTTATATCAGTTATTTGTTAATTGCTGCTGGTGGAGAGTGACTAAGAACTTTTCTCTCTTACTTCAAAAACACATATTTCACTTTCATTATATTAGAAACAGAAACAAAGAATAAAAGTCTTTTCTCTGTATCTTGAAGATTCAATTTTTAAGAGAAGTCAGATTTCAACAAAGTGACAATTCACCCACTGATTTTCTACTGTAAAAAACTTTTCCGTTTTCATTCCCACAACTTTTGTCCAACTTTTTCAGCGCTCTGGTGCGACCTGGGAGGTTTGACATGCAGGTGACCGTCCCGCGTCCAGATGTGAAGGGACGCACGGAGATTCTCAACTGGTACCTGTCCAAGATTAAAGTGGACAGTAGTAAGTGTGAAATGCAGACTGTAAAATGTGGGCTGGAATTTTTCTGTGGGAAAAGACAACTTTCTGTGAAATATATTGTAAATAAAATAGCTTTTTTTTTTTTACTGCAAGCTGAAGAATGTACTTTTTGTCTGCTGCTGTGAAAGACCCCACTGTCTTTACCCACTAAAGACAATATTTTTCTGTTTCCCTGGTGCAGCCGTGGAAGCGGAAATCATTGCCCGAGGCACAGTGGGGTTCTCGGGGGCAGAGCTCGAGAATCTGGTCAACCAGGCCGCCCTGAAGGCAGCCATGGACGGGAAAGAGATGGTCACTATGAAAGATCTGGAGTTCGCAAAGGACAAGATCCTCATGGGTGAGTGCACCATGTGTTTAAATCTGTGATTAATCATTGTATGTTTAAATTAGTTTTGTATAATTTATTTCACAAATTAATTGTGTTACGGTTGTTATTTATGTGTTTTTTTTTTTCGCCCAGCCCCTGGGTGGAAGACCGTTGTAATTGATAAACAGAACAAGACCATCACGGCCTACCATGAGTCTGGCCATGCTATAGTTGCGTACTACACCAAGGATGCAATGCCAATCAACAAGGCAACAATTATGCCGAGGGGACCAACCCTGGGTCATGTGAGTGTCTCGCCAACCTTGTCCTTTTTGTCTTCTTTATTTTGAATTTTCATCACCAAATAACTCTGTCTTCTCAATGTCTCCGTCCCTCAGGTGTCCATGCTCCCAGAGGACGACCGCTGGTCTGAGACACGGGCACAGCTTCTGGCTCAGATGGACGTCAGTATGGGCGGTCGAGTGGCAGAGGAGCTCATCTTTGGAGACGACAACATCACCACGGGTGTGGATTTTAAAATGACATTATTTAGCTGACCTCATTGCAATTTAGGATTTTTTATCATTAAAGGGTATAGAGGAAAACAAACACTTTACTGCTGGGTCAAAGTTTGTTATAAAACAGTATTGAATGTGGTGTTTTTTTAATATTTGTAGGAGCCTCCAATGACTTTGATGGTGCAACCAGGATAGCCAAAATGATGGTGACCAAGTTTGGAATGAGTGACAAGGTAATATATGCTTGTCTATACTTGACATTTATGGCTATGTTTACACTAGTGCAAAATGTATATGCCTTGCAGCACCCACTTGCAATAGCTTAGTGCCCCCTACAGACCCTGCACCCCACTTTGAGAATCACAACAATAATCCATCTGGGAGTCCAGACTATTGAATCGGCTGCTGAAAAAAAATCCATCTGGGAGTCCAGACCCAGACTATTGAATCGGCTGCTGAAAAAAAAGTTTTACAATATAAATATAGTATTATAATTCTCACTAATGGTGTAGCTTGGCGTGATGACCTACGGCGATGTAACCAAACAGAGCCCCGAGACGCAGGCCGCCATCGAACAGGAAGTGAGAGTGTTACTCCAGGTGAGTGTAAAGATATTCATCTTTTCCCAGGCTTTTTTTTTTTTTTTTTTTTGAAGATATTCGTCTTTTCCCAGGCTTTTTTTTTTTTGGATTCATTTCTTATTTTGGGTTCTTTCCGTGAACTCCAGGATTCTTACGATCGTGCCAAGAACCTCCTGAAGAAGTACAGCAAGGAGCACAAGACGCTGGCCGACGCCCTGCTGACACACGAAACCCTGGATGCCAAAGAGATCCAGATGGTGCTGGAAGGCAAATCGCTGGACCACTGAGATACCTCACTAGACATTTTAGACCCTTGTATCCTTGTGTATGTGTATATACACGTATATATGTACTTACATATATATCTATATATACATACACATGTTTGTGTACATTTACATATATAAATATATAGAACATTTTGTAAATGAGCCTCACTCTTTTGAAGGTGCTGGATTTGTTCTGTCCTCAGTATCGGTGTCAACAGGAAACCGTATTTTCTGTCAGACCAATGATATTAAGTTATTTTTTTATCCATTCTCATTTGACCGTTTCCCAGCAGAGAGGACTCTGAGGATCAATGCCACTTTCAAGGTTTTCAGTCAAACTGCTCCTTTGAGTATATTGAGCGGCAGGTAGATACAGATCATTCTAAACTGTGAATACTAATTTTCTTTTTTAAATCCATTCACAAAAAACTGTTCAGTGTTTTGTTTTCCTTCATGGGATGTAAATTATGACCACGTCAACTGTATGTTTGTTTTATTTATTACTCACCTGGCCAGCAGTGTGTCCCGTTTCATGAAATCAGTCACAATGAACTGTCCTGTAAATGAGTGGTGATGAAGTGTAAATACTGGAGTGTCACAAAGGCTTTCTGAAAGCTCTAATAAAGGTTTCTCATACAACACTGGTGTGGCAGAATTACTGATAATAATATTCAATAATAACCTTTCTTACATCAGAAAACCAATAGAAATCAAATTGTTGAAAATGTCGAGATTTGCTTTCAAAACATTGGTGACCTCAAATATATTGACAGTCTATAGTTCCTCACAATTCATTTGACAGTTTACTGTATGTATTTCAAATGCATAAAATCTGATCTGGGGTTATGGCGCGTACAGTATGTATTTAAGGTTTAAAGCACAACATTCAATAAGGTTTAAAGCACAACATTCATAAGACGAACAGAAGCCTATTCACCACCACCTCAATCATTTAAACCTGTAATTAGTGTTTTTAGACCGACAGTCCAGTCCATTGTAATGTCCTCCGGCCCCTTTTGTCAGTGATGCCTGACAGAGAGTATATAAAAGCTACAGCTGTCCTCGGCCTGTCTGAGAACCACGACTTGTTCTTCATCAAACGTCTGTTGAATTGGTGTTGAAGATAAATAGAGTATTTCACCAGAAGAATGGACGAATCAGAGGACGACATAGCTGTCATTGGGATTGGATGCAATTTTCCTGGAGGTAGAACACAATTTCTATTTCATTGATATGAATACTTCTCTAGTTCACAGTCTTCACAGTCTATGTCAGGTTGGTCTGCAACCTGTGGCCCCTGATCCATATGTGGCTCCTTGCAAGATAATATTTGACTGACATCTCAAATCATTAAAATGGATCTTTTTGCAATCTTTAAATTCTAGGTGAGGGTTTGAACGAATTCTGGAAGGTTTTGTTAGAAGGAAGGAACTGTGTTGCAGATATCCCTGCAGAGCGTTTTGACTCCAGTTTCTGGTACAGTGCTGATGAAACAAAAGCTGGGAAAACATGCACAACCAAAGCAGCGCTCATAGACGGGTAAGAATCTGTGTCAGATTAAGCTTTGATTCTGCTCTTTGTGCTGCGCTGTACTAGAATCCTCTGTGTTTTATTTTTTTTCAAGGTTTAACGAGTTTGATCACAGGTTTTTCAGCATCACAGAGGCAGAGAATAACTGCATGGACCCACAGCAGAAACTCCTGCTTCAGTGCACGTACAGAGCCCTGGAGGACGCAGGAGTTTCCATGGAGAGCATCAGTGGAAGCAGAACTGGAGTCTACATAGGTGATACTGATGCTGCATTAAACATTTGGAAGCATCATTCTCCATGTGACAAACTTTAATCTAGTACTGTACCATGTGATTTTTGATGTTTCAGGTCTGATGAACAGGGATTACGAGATGCTCAGAAACAATGATCCCACCACCATAACCCATTACAATGCCACCGGGACGGCCATGAGTGTCGCTGCCAACCGGATTTCTTTCACCTTCAATCTCACTGGTCCTTCTCTGGCCGTTGACAGCGCCTGCTCCTCATCTATGGTGGCTTTACATTTAGCCTGCCAGGCTATAAAGCAGCGTATGTGATAGTTTCCCATCAAAACCCCAGAAGAATGTTCAAAGATCTATATGTAATTGTCTTATCTCTGTCAACTAGGAGACTGTGAGACGGCTCTATGTGGAGGCGTCAACTGCATCATTGAGCCCAGGATCTTTGTTGCCCTGAGCAAAGCCAGGATGATTTCACCAGGAGGAACCAGCAGACCTTTCTCCAGTGAAGCAGATGGCTATGGCAGAGGAGAAGGCTGTGGCATTGTTCTCCTGAAGCCTCTGAGAAAGGTGAAAACTTTGTTTATTTTCAAATTTGCTAACACTACGTAACACTGTTAAAAGCTAACTTTCTAACAGCCGAACCCTTTGTGCAGGCTGTGAAAGACTACGACAAAATATGGGGTGTGATCAGCAAAACAGCCATCAACCAAGACGGCCACTCGGTGACGCCCATCACCAAACCGTCCATGACACAACAAGAGGAGCTGCTGAGAAGAATCTACTCAGAATCGGACCTTGCTAACGTCCAATACATAGAGGCACACGGGACGGGGACCAAGGTCGGAGATCCCACAGAGGCAGGAAGCATTTCCAATGCCATTGCCAAAGCCAGACCTCCTGGTTCCAAGACACTGTGGGTTGGCTCTGTGAAAGGTAACATTGGACATACAGAATCTGCAGCGGGAGTAGCAGGACTCACGAAGGTTCTGCTGATGATGAAGCAGAAGACCATTGTTCCTTCAATGTTCTACTCCAAACACAGCACAAGTATAGACGTTGAAGCCCTCCATATAAACATTCCAACTACACCTGAAAGATGGGAAGCAAACGGGTCTGCACTAAGGACCGCAGGGATCAACAGCTTTGGGTTTGGAGGCACAAATGCTCATGCAATTGTGAAAGAGTACAGAAGGAACCCCATTCCCACGGGGACACCACAAGGTTCTCCAGAACTCTTTGTAATATCTGCAGCCAGTGAGAAATCACTAATGCTGACCATCAGGGACTCACATCAGAAGCTGTGTGATTCAGAAACAGTTGACTTACATGCATTGTCTTACACCTCAACATGTAGGAGGAGTCATTATAGACACAAATACAGGAAGGCCTTCCTGACAACTTCCATCTCGGATTTACAGCATCAGCTGAAATCTGCTGTACAATCAAAGACGGAGCCGACAAAGTCAGACGTCCAGGTGGTGTTTTTGTTCTGTGGGAATGGTGTCGCATACAAAGGTATGTGCCAGCAGCTCTTGAAAGAGGTTCCTGTTTTCACAGATAAGGTCATGGAGATTGACAGACTCTTCCAGCATCATCAAAGTTACAGCATCACTCAGTGGCTCGCTGATGGTTTCAAAGACCAGGACTTAAGGAAGCCAGATATGATCCAACCTGTTCTGTTTGCGATCCAGGTTGGCATCGCCACCGTTCTTAAACACTGGGGGCTGGAACCTGATGCCGTGTTTGGACACTCGGTGGGAGAAGTTGCTGCTGCTCACTGCTCGGGTCTTTTGTCTCTTGAAGATGCTGTAAAAGTGTTGTACCACCGCAGCAACCTTCAGAGCAAAGTCATGGGTGGTGCAATGCTTGTGGTCAGTAATGTGGCTGTAGAGGAGGTAGAAGAAATCCTCAAAGATTTCTCTGGAAAAGTTAGCATTGCAGCTTTCAACAGTCCATGCTCCTGCACACTGGCAGGAGAATCGGATGAAATAGACCTCATTCAAGAAAGGCTGAAGACACAGTTTAAAGACAAAAATCTTTTTCTTCATATTTTGGACGTTCCTTCGGCGTACCACAGCCATATGATGGATCCCATTTTAGATGACATCCAGAGAAACCTCCATGTTTTAGATGCCAATAGCTTGAAGTGCAAACTCTTTTCAACTGTGACAGCAGCTAAATGTGCAGATGGTGACTTCACCTCTGGTAGATATTGGGCAGAGAACATTCGAAAGCCTGTTTTGTTTCAACAAACTCTTCGTGCAGTCACTAAAGATGGGCAGCTTCTGAGGAATGTGGTCTTTGTGGAAGTTGGACCTCGTAGGGTTCTTCAAAGAAACATACGTGAAACTCTTGGAAACAACGCCATAGTTCTGACCTCAGTCCAGCCTCAAAAAGATTATGAGACAATCTTAAATGCACTTGGAAGAGCATTTGAGTTTGGTCTCAATGTGGACTGGCATCAGGTCTACATGGGCCATGAGACGTTGCCCACAGATCTTCCAGTTTACCAGTTTGATAACTCAAAGAAGCAGATCAATTTTGAAGATGTCAGAAGAGGGAACAGCTCACCTTCTTCTCATCAGCTGATATCCCAACTAAGTACCAGTAATGAGTACATTTACACACTCTCTGTAGACACTGCACCATATCTTTGGGAGCACAAAAACAGTGGTGTTTCCATAGTTCCCGGTTCTTTGTATGTTGAGATAGCTTACACCTCAATAATGGCGAGCTTAAAACCAAAGAAACCAGTTTCTTTGCTCCAGATAAACATTAAATTTGAGAGTCTGTTTACACTCACATCAAACTCTCACCAGCTAAGAGTAACCCTTGAGCAAACAGAGGGAGGGGTGTCCTACAGGATAAGGTCTGCAGCTGCAGTGCATGCGCGCGGGACATGCAAGATCCAAGACAGCCAACCAATGATTGAAGAGCCCACAATTGCCCCAGATATTATCTTTCAGAGGTGCAGATTGATCATGGATAAGAAAGAGATTTATTCAACTCTATCCCAAGCTGGTTTTGACTACGGCTCCGTCTTTAATCGTCTTGATTATGTGCATTTTGGAGGTGAATTCAATGAAGCTGTGACCAAAATCCAAGTCCCTGAAGAACTCCTACAACACCTACATGAACATTTCCTCCACCCCGTGTTATTGGACTATTTCCTGCAAATGGGGGCTGCACTGGCGGTTGGAAATTTAACAGCCAAGCAGGCATTTCCTTCAGGTATCAGTAGTGTTGCTATTTCGGCGCCGTTGCAGGAGACGATGATAATGTATTTACGAGCAACTGCAGAGACTCCAGACTTCCTTGAAGTGTGTGGTTGCTTTGCGACCACACAGGGTAAAGTACTAGTTGAGCTGAAGAAGGTGAGGTTCACATTTTTGGGCAAGATTTCAAATGCTCCTCAGTCACTCTTCTTTCACAGTGAACTTATTCCAGTTTTGTTTGACTCAAATGAATTTGTCGACTGCAAACTGAAAGCCATCATTTTTGCAGACAAACTCCACATTTCCAAAAGACTGAAACCATACTTGGACCCGGAGTCAATCATTGTGGAGTACACAGATGATTGGACGTCCAAGCCACTTCAGGAGTCACTTAAGACTAACATTAATTTGACTCACGCTGTCTTCATGTGGGGTGTAGAAAATCTCAATCACCTGACCGCTGACCAGACACTGGAGACCTTGGTTTCTGGTTGTGAGAAGTATCGCCAGATCTTGTTACTTTTAAAAGAAATGAGACCATCTTGCCACGTGCATGTTATAACCTACAGATCTTCAGAACTGACCGTGGACCATATCAGTCCAGGTTTTATGTTGTCTGGAATGACCAGGGCCTGTGCGGCAGAGATGCCAAGTCCCTCCTTTCAGCTGGTTGACCTTGCCTCTGTGACCAATGAAGACATTCAGATGTTGATTGAAGTTATTAAATCCAGCAAACAACAAGAGGTGGTGATCAGGAATGGGCAGGTACTGACAACCAAGATATCCCAGACCCAGGAGATGGGGTACCCTTGTAAAGAAGACGATCAGTCAGAGTTTCTGGGTGACTTTATTTTGCAGACTGGTGATTCGTACAGAATGACCTCCTTGTCAACCATCCCTGATGACACCGGTGAAGGTCCGAACCCTGAGACGTCAGTTGAGATTCAGCTCACCCATGCATGTGTGCACTCATCTGATTACTTTCCTGTCACCACTTCACATTTAAATTTTGGCAGAACAATTTACTGGAACCAGCATACATCCCATAATCACCAGCTTCTGGTTTTAGATTTTGGTGGTGTCGTTACAGCTGTTGGGAAAAGCGTTCGTAGCCTAGCCGTGGGCGACCGTATCGTCTCATGTTGTCCGACTGTAGCTAAGAGTAAAATGAGAGTTCCGGAAACTTTGTGCTATAACACGAAGTACGTCCCATTTCTAAAAGACAGTCCATGTGTGTCGTACTTCATACTGGCGTGGGAGATCCTGCAGAACATCACAGTGAAAGAACGACACAGAAAATTGACCATTATTTCCCAGAACACAGCTTCTGCTCTGATGAAGGTTTTGGCTTTAACAGCCAACAGGTCCGGCTGGAACGTTTCCTCAACACTGCATTTCAGAGAAGCAACTAATAGTATTCACCAAAGTCACGCCTTTGTTTTTCTACCTCCATTTGACCACACGGGATGGCAGGACATAAAAGGCAGCAGTTTTTTCGAGAGACATATCGTTTTTGTGTACAGCAGTCACATGTCATCTCCACACATATCAAACATGCATGCAATAAACAGTGAACACGTACATCTTCACAATGTCGATGTAGCTAATGTTCTCCACAAAACATATCTGCGAGTGCACAGCAAAAAAGTTTTTAACTGGTTGAAGTCATTAGGGTTTGTTGCAGAATCTTTACCGTTGAGAAAGGGAACTTTTCAGACGTTAACAAAAGAGATGCCTGAAACTGATCCAGATTGTGAGTCATATTTCACTACAAAAACAGTGCAGAATGTGATTTTGGATCACGCAGAATCTGATCGCTCATATCTCACATCTCGTATCCCAAGTCACAGGTCAAGACAACTTTTCAAAAAATGTGGCGTATACATCATTACTGGGGGGCTTTCAGGTTTGGGGCTGGAGACTGTGAAGTTCGTCTCACATAATGGTGGTGGGTGTATTGCAACTCTGTCCAGGAGCACCTTGACAAATGAGATCCAGGTTGAAATGGAACTCCTGCAGAAAACATCTGGCGTTAGCATCATACACGTCCAGTGTGATGTTTCGGTGTCAGTGCAGGTGATGGACGCAATCACCAAGATCAGACAACGATTCCCCTCCTGTCCCATCAAAGGCGTTTTTCACAGTGCTGCTGTGCTGCATGATGCACTTATTGAAAACCTCGACAGAACACTCTTCCAGAAGGTTCTGAAGCCCAAAGTGTGCGGAGCTCTGAATCTCCACTACGCCACACTTCATAACAAACTGGACTACTTTGTTTGCTACTCCTCCATCTCTTCATTCATCGGCAACGCCTCCCAGTGCAACTACGCAGCCGCCAACTCTTTCTTGGATGTGTTCTGCCACTATCGGAGAAATCTTGGCCTTGCTGGACAGTCCATCAACTGGGGTCCACTCAACCTGGGTCTGCTGCTGAAAAAAGACCATTTTCAGAAGTTCCTAGAAGCAAAAGGGATGATGACAATGGATGTGTGGGAAGTCCATAAAGCTCTTGAAAAGTGTCTCCTCCTAAACAGACCTCAACAAGTCATATGCAAATTCAGCTTAAAAAACCTTAACACTCATGTTCTGTCCCAAAATGCATTTCTGAGACGACGACTCTTGGCTCTCGTAGAAACGAAGCTTCAAGATGATGTGAAGCCCAAAACTGAGTGTCAACCTGTGAGGTCCAGGCAGGACAGTGTGAGGAAAATAGTCAGTGACATAAGTAATGTTAGTGAAGAAGAGCTGGACGACGACTCTGCTCTGTGTGATTTAGGAATCGACTCCATGTTGGCCATGACTCTGCAGAACCAGATATTCCAGGAAACAGGAGTTAATGTGCCTTTGGTCAAAATACTGGACCCCAACAGTTCACTGTCCACATTGGCTGCTATTGTAATGAATAATGGGTCATGTGATTCACAGTGTAACTGACTGGTTGTTGGTTTCTGTTTTTACTCCTGTAAATGCTTTTAAATGTACATACACTATTTTAACTGAGGTACATTTAAAATAACTTGATTCAAACATTAATGTGATTTTTCTCTTCAATTTTTTGCATATGTATTTTCAAGGGGGCCAAACTCAATATTTAGAATGTAGAATCTTTCATATGGAAAAAATATGAAACAACCAAGTATAATGACGGGCCTGCTCTAATACTTGCATGCCAAGTTAATTACACCAAGGACCAGATTTGGCCTGAGTTTGACACCTGTGGTAAAAAGGTATAAAGTTCATATGATTATGATCAGCAAGTACCTAATACACATTACATAGTAATTGGATCGGGCTATTCTGGATTGTGTAACCTGTAATAAACCTCTGTACATCAGATGTGTCCAAGCCTTTTGAAGACCAGCCAGATTTGATAAAATGTCCAAGGCCTGCTGCTGCTGCTTTAGTATTTTGAAAATTGTTATGACCCCAGTCTAGGGGAACCGGTACATAGAACAATTTTTAGCCCCTCTTTTGCTTCTCATCCTCAAGAATGTGGCCAAGTCTAAGAATTTATAATTTTAAAGCAGCATTTTATTTTGTAAAGGAAGTGAGGAAACAATGCCCCAACAAACAACAAACAAATCTAAGAGGGCCCTGCTCTTTCCTCCAACAAACAAAAGAAAACAAAATACAGGGTTTTTAACCTACGATCAGAATCAAAGACAAGAGAAAAATGTTTTGAACAAACAAACAAACGAGGGCTTCGCACTCCTCCATTTTGCTATTAATTACAAACAATCAAATGCATCATAAGGTAAACCACACAGAGCACATGGCAAGGTGTTAGCAGGCCTTAGCTCAAGGATGACAAAGGGGAAGAAGGCGGCGCCAGTTGGTTTAAATGGACGCCATCGACCAATCCACTCACAGTTTCCCTGTCATGTGATCATGCAAGAAAAAAAACCCCCCACACCTCTACATACACTGGTAGGAGAGAGAAAACACAAATCAGTAGCCATGATGTTAGCTCAGGAAAATCTCAGAAGTAGATTCAAAATATTCACAGAATAGAGCAAGGGAAAATTTGTTCTCAAGGATAAACAAAAGATTGACATAAAATAGTATAAGACTGTTCTGAAAATTATTAAAATGTTATGTTGTATAACCCAACCTCTACTACCAAAAAGTTAATATCTTATTGTTGGGTTTCATTAGACATGTCCAGTGCCATAAGCAGCTGGCTTCTTTAAATTAAATAATTGGGCACAAAGTCAAACTTTCAGTCTTTATTTATTATGTAGTAAAAATAAAAAAGGCTTAAGCACAACTTTCTTTAACTTTAGCATACAGCCTTATTTATCACAAACTGCTGGCAAGCCAGTGTATCATGTGTTATTTTTTCCAAATTAATATTATAAAAATATGATCACTGAGCTTAAGGTGATAAGATATATCTATGACCCATCACACAAGATAAGGTAAGACAATAAACAACCACAGACACAAACTTAGCTTACTATAATTAAAGACTTTTATTGATATATTACCAAAATTTACACATATCTCAATAATAAACAATATACAATAGATTTATACACATTTCTGGTTTACTGCTCATTCTTGTGCTGAAAGGTTTTTGTTCGCATCACCATATCAATAACGAGAAAGCATAAAAGGCATTCATTAGAGCCTGAATTTGTGCAAAGTACAACAAAAATGATGGAAACAATAACAAACCCAACAGAAAAAAACCCAACATAATTTGTACCAGGTGGCATCAGGATATTTTGTTGTGATACCCGTAATCAATAAAACATTTGACTGTAAATGTTTCCTTATTACTATGTTGTCATGGGCAATATTTACACAAATCTGTACACACAATTAAAGGAAGACTGTTTGTCCGGCTCTAAATTTGAACTCACGAGGATAAGACTGCTGACTGTTGCGAAACTTTGACACTTAACTTGCATTTAAACCTTTTATGATTTACAGTACTGATCCCGTAGACCAGGAAACTCAGTTAGTGATCCAGTAAAAGATATTTGGGTCAAACAGTGTCAGGACGACAGGAATTGACCTCACAGTCTTGTTGACTGATCCCCCATGTCTTCTGTTGAGTTACTCATGGCAGGATTATCGCTATCCAGTTGCTCATCATCTCCTTCACTCAGTAAAGCGACCACTGATGATAGGGTGGCATTTGGGTCCAACAGTTTCACCAACGGCAGATTTACACCTCTCTCTTGATAGATAAGATTTTGCAAGGTCATGGCCTGCATGGAGTCAACACCCAAGGACGAGAGCAGCAAGTCATCTTTCAGCTCGCTCTGGTCCACACCAATGGTCTCACTCAGGAGGGAGTGAACGTACGCCCTTGGCGACACCGTTTCTTTTTTGGGGGTTTGGGACTCTTTTTCCTTTGATTTTCGGAAGGCTTCATCAACCAGTGCAGACAGACGCATGGTTAAGGATGCATTTTGAGATAAAATGTTGTACCTGATGTTTCTGAAGTGAAACCTGCACACTGCCTGTTGGGGCAGATTTAGCTCAAGACATTGCTCCAAGCTTTTGTGAATTTCAGGCACGTCTAACACCATCATCCCTTTAGCCTCCAAGAATCGCTGGAAGTGCTCCTTGTTCAAGAGGAGACCAAGGTTCAAGGCCCCCCAGCTGATTGACTGTCCGGCCAACCCTAAATTACGTCTGTAATGACAGAACAGGTCAAGAAAGGTGTTGGCTGCTGCATAGTTAGTTTGTGATGGATTTCCCAGGAAAGCAGAGATGGAGGAGTAACACACAAAATAGTCTAACTGACAGTGCTGTGTGGCATGGTGCAGATTTATCACACCTTTGACTTTTGGTTTAAGGACTTTCTCGTAAAGAGACCTGTCAAGAGTCTCGATCAACCCATCATGCAAGACAACTGCACTGTGAAACACTCCTTTGACCGGACAGCCGGGAAACGTCTGGCCTATGGCTTTGAAAACCTTGTGCACCTGCTCAGAGACGGCTACGTCACACTCCATGCTGACGATACTGTTTCCACACTGATTCTTTACATTATCTATGTCTTTCTGCAACTCTGCTGTAGGCTTGCTCCTGGAAAGTATCACAACGTACTCTCCACCTCTCTGTGAAATGAACTTGACTGTTTCAAAGCCTAATCCAGAAAGACCGCCCACCACTACATACACAGATTTCTTCCGGAAAAGCTGCTTCTTTGTTGGCATAAGTGGGATGTCGGAAAGAGTAAAGTTTTCATCCTTTTCCAGAGCAACAATGGAGAGTTGTTTGGTGTTAAAGTATGATTCTGGCTCCTGCAAACTGATAGTTATGTCAGATTCCATGCTCTGAAAGGCACTGCCTCCAATTCCCAATTTCCTGCTTAGTTTCAATGATTTGAGCCACTGATAAATGTGTGGTCTTTTGCCACTCAGAGATCCTTTTTGCAAAATGACGGGCATCTGAATTGTCTCAATGTGCAAATTGTCATTGACACTGTGGAACAAATCCTGAGCGAGAAGATTCTGCATGTGAGACTCACAGACGACCACCATGTGTTTCTTCCCAGGGAATTTGCCAATCTTTTCAATCAGAGATTTGTCAAATGGAGGCAGGATGACAAATGCATCCATCTGTTTCATATTAGCTGATAAGCCATTGTTTTGTGTCCCTGTGTGCACATTCCAGCCAGATTTAAAGGAAGTAAGGGCTAGGATTTTCATTAGAGCAGAGTCGGGGACAGAGGATATGATCGCGAGATGTCGTTTAGCTTTGGGCAAAGCTCGGAACAGGATTTCCCAGGCTAGCACAAAGAAAGAAACACACGGTGTGTTTTGGAGAAATGGGAAACGTTTGATGCTGTAGCACGCATCTTCAGGCACGGTGATCCTGCTGCCTGCCACCACAGGATAACAGGAGGCAACCTGGTCACCCACTTTAAGTTTGGTAACTTCTTTTCCAACTGCTGTGACCGTGCCAGAGAAATCAAGAGCTAGAAGTGGGTGATTTTGCTTTGAATGTTTGTTCCAGTAGAGTGTCTGTCCAAATTTCAGAAGTGAAGCACTGACTGGGAAGTAATCAGATGAATGAACACATATTTTACTCGGCTGAATTTCAATGGAGGAGTCACTGGGTGGTAGGTTGCTAGGACAGTGGATGGCACTCACTTGAGTAATGTTGTGTGCATCAGCTGTCTGAAAGATGCATGGCTCAGAGGAGGCTGAAGTAAAACTCATCCTGGAATTATCTTGGATTTTTGGCGGCGTGTGACTGATTGATGGTGTTAGAACCTGTCCATCCTTTACCACCAATTCAGGGTATTTGCTGCAAGGGTATGACCGTAAGACCTTTGACAGAGTTGCAATGTCCTGAGCAGCGATACCGCTCAAATCAACAAGCTGAAAAGCCAGATCTGGTAGTTCTGCAGCGAATGCTCTCATCATGCCAACGATAGCAAAGCCGGGGTTTACCCGATCTGCTGTGATGTCAGACGAACAGTAGGTCACTGCTCTGATAGAGTTTGGGAAGTGAATCTTTTTGAGCTCGAGAACAATTTGACGTAAAATCTCACAGTAGTTCACCAAAGACTGCAGCACAAGGTCGGATTCCTGTGACGTAAGGTTTTCATTACCCCACAAAAACAAGACTTCGTTAAAGCTTTTCTTAACATTTGAGATCTTCAGGTTAGCCAGGAGAGAGGGGAAACCACTGTTCAAAATAGCTTTGGCATGTGTGAATGATATGTACTGAGACCTTGAGTCTAAATGCTGCTTCAGACTTTCAGCTATGCCTGCTTGGTCACAGAAAACCAAAGCTCTGGGAGGAGCAGATGGGTTACCTTCAGGAATTACACTGAAGGAGTTATGGTAGAAGTACTCATCTACCACTTGAGTGTGGCTACCAAGGTACTTGATCATTACATGCTTCACCTGGACAAGCACTCTCCCTTCTTTGTCTGCAAAACAGCCACAAACCTGGAAGTCATTTTCTCCCACTTCTGATGCCCTCAAGTAAAGAATCATTTCTTCTTTCAAAGGTTCAAAAACGGTCAAACTCCCAATTTGGGCAGGAAATCCTGGCCTCCCTGCGAAAATGTGCTCCACGGTTACTGGGAGAAGCTGCATAAGAAAATCTAACACAACAGGGTGAATGCAGTAGTCATGCAGTTGAGAGTGCAGTTCTTCAGGAACAGAGACGACTGTAAAGGCCTCTCTGAGGTCTCCTCCGTAGTACACATTACTTTTGTTTTTGAAGACGTCACCATATTGAAAGCCTCCTTGAGAAAGATACCCGTAGAACTCCTCAGAAGTCACAACAGATTTGCACCTTTGGTAGAGGGAACTCAGTGAAATGGTCTGCTCCTCCATCAGCCTCTCTCCGCCTGAAGTGACTTTACCTGATGCGTACATTGCAGATGGGGAGAAGACAGAGAAAGTGGCTTCCCGCTCTGCATGTTCCACTTTCACCTTCACGTCAGGTGGTTTGGGCATTAGAACACATGGACTATGGAAGTTGACACTCAGCTGTAGAGCGTTAAGTGGCACTTTTGGTTTGGCAGTGGCCATGAATGCTGATAATCCCAAATCAGCATAGAAGGCACCAGGGATGAGGGGAATGTCATTATGTTTGTGCTCTTTTAGGTAGAATGTCGAATCTGAATTCAGATTACAGCTTAAAATGTTGCTCTCACCTTCTGTGTGACAGAGCACTGGGTGATTGCTGGATGTGTTGTTTTGTGCTGCTCCAATGATAACATCTCTGTATGAGCAATCAAACTTGTACTCTGGGAAAGGCAGTGGCGTTGTTACAAAACTTTTGTAAAGGTTGTTCCAATCAACTTGAACGCCGAGCTCAAACAGCTTGGGAACTACAGACAGGACTGCGTCGTGATCATTCCCTGGCTGAACCGAGGCCAACACTGATGTGCTGTTACCCAGACATTCCTGGATGTTCCTCTGCAGTGCCCTTCGTGGGCCTATCTCTACGAACACGGTGTTATTTTTTCCTTTTGATGCTGACTTCACTGCTTGCTCAAATGCTACCGGCTCCCGAATATTTCTCGCCCAGTAGTCACCTGTGCAGAAGTCTTTGTGCTGGAATTTTTTGCCCGTTACTGTCGAGAACAACTCTGTGTTGAGGTCATTGGGCTGCAAGGCACCAATGCAGTTTCGGATTTCTTGAAGAATGGGGTCCATCATGTGGCTGTGGTAGGCAGCAGGTACGTCTAAGACACGGAGGAACAGATTCTGACCGTTGGCTGAGCTGCTTAGCTGCTTATGGAGGCTCAGGATAGCATCGACGTCACCTGAGAGAGTGCAGGACTCTGGACTGTTATAAGCAGCGAGACATATCCTACCAGAGTATTTAGGGAGCACAGCAGTTACCTCGGATACAGCCATATTACTGACCACCAGCATCTTTCCCCCAGTGACCCGGCTTTGGAGGACGCTGCGGTGATAGATGACTTTGACTGCATCTTCAAGAGACAAGAGGCCAGAACAGTGGGCAGCTGCTACTTCACCAACAGAGTGCCCGAGCATGGCATCTGGCTTGACACCCCAGTGCATGAGTAAGGTGCTAATGCCCACCTGGATGGCCAGGAGTAATGGCTGTACAACATCTGGGTTGTTAAAGTCACTGCTTTCAGTTTCACTCTCCAGTGTCTCCAGGATGTTCAGTGAACTAAGCTTTTGAAAAACTTGTGAAATTTCCTCGATCTTTTGTCTGAAAACTGGCTCGTGTTTCAGAAGCTGTTTGCACATGCCATGGTAGGTGACGCCATTTCCACAGAAGACAAACACCAACCCTGGATCTAAGGAGGACGAGCTGACATTTTTGTCGAGGGCAGCACTAAGCTTTTGTTTTAGATCAGCTACAGATGATACCAGAAGAGCTTTTCTGAACTTGTGTTTTAAATGGCTCCTTCTGCAGGCTGCTGTGTACAAGAGAGAGTCCAGATCAACTTTACTGTTGGACTCCAGCTGCTTAATGGTGTCTTCCACCATTAGAGATAAAGATTTGGTTGAATTTGCTGACATAACAAAGTATTTCGGTTGATTCTGGTTTTTCTCTTGCACAGTGGGTGACTGACTATACTCTTTGACAATAGCGTGTGCATTTGTACCCCCAAAACCAAAGTTATTCACCCCCGCAACTCTCGGACCAGAGGGTTTCCATTCTTCTGACCTCTGAGGAATTTTGACATTGAGAGCTTTGGCATCGACACTGGCACTTTGCTCAGAATAGAAAACTGAGGGAACAATTGTCTTATGCTTCATCATCAGAAGAATCTTTATGAGTCCGGCCACTCCCGCTGCAGATTCTGTATGTCCAATGTTACTCTTCACAGAGCCAATCCACAGTTTCTCTGAACCAGGAGGTTTGGCTTTAGCAATGACATTTGAGATGCTTTCTGCCTCTGTTGGGTCTCCAACTGGGGTTCCAGTTCCGTGCGCCTCTATGTACTGAACATCGGCAATGTCAGACTTGGAGTAAGTTCTTCGTAGCAGCTCCTCTTGTTGTATCATCGAGGGTTTAGTGATTGGAGTGACTGAGCGACCATCTTGGTTGACCGCTGTTTTGCTGATGATACCCCAGATGTGATCGTGGTCTTCTAAGGCCTGTTAAAAAAGAATAATAAAATCAAAAACTAGAGTTGAACTAGATGAAATGAGCATACCGTTATACTTTAGCCATATTCTAACCTTTTTCAGGGGTTTCAGAAGAACAACCCCACATCCTTCTCCTCTACCGTAGCCATCTGCTTTGTTGGAAAAAGTTTTGCTGGTCCCATCAGGGGAGATCATCTTGGCTTTGCTCAGGGCAACAAACACTCTTGGCTCTATGATACAGCTCACTCCTCCGCAAATAGCCATATCACAATCACCTGATAAGATAAGGCACATTTTACCCATATAAACAAATCACAAAGGTTCAGAATAATCCTGCAGTACAGTAAAAAAAAAAAAAAAAACTCAATGCAGACCTTCTTTAATGGCTTGACAAGCAAGATGAAGAGCCACGAGTGAGGATGAGCAGGCAGAGTCTATGGTCAGTGAAGGTCCAGTAAAGTTGAAGATGTACGAGACTCTGTTCGCTGCTATGCTCATGGCTAGCCCTGTGCCGGTCCAGTGGTTGATCACAGTTGGGTGGACATGTGCAGCATTTGTTTCATAATCTCTGTTCATGAGGCCTACATAGACATGAACATGGGTTAAATTAGATCATATCAAATAACACAGAAACACCAGGGCCCCGTCTGGCTTTGTTCTCTTACCGATGAACACCCCTGTACTGGTGCCACTGGCCTTCTCCATTGGAATTCCAGCGTTCTCCAAAGCTCTGTAAACACACTGCAGCAGGTGCTTCTGCTGAGGGTCCATTTGTTCCACTTCACTGTCGCTGATGCCGAAGAACTTGTGGTCAAATTCATTGAATCTGAAAAGAGTTAATGAAAATCATTGGATCTATGCCAAAGGCCCCACGTCAGTGGAGTTTATAAAATAGTTCAATACTGTAAAACTCTAGACATTTTAACATTCTGGTTCTTTAGCCAAATGTGTGAAAATATTGCGAAGTAGGAATTGATTTAAAAAAGTCTCTAATTTCGCTGGGATTAAAAGTTGACATAAAAATATTTCTGAATTTATTTTTGTCAAATGTCAATACATTTTAATGGCCTATCAAGGGCAGGTCCAGACACATTCAAGGAGGTTTACAACAAAGTAAACTATGTCTTATCTAAGTATTAAAACTAGTTTTATTGCCAAATCACTTGACAGTGACCCCAAAGGTGAAGCTGTGATAAAGGAGACTTTTATTTAAGATGCTTTAATTGCCAAGATGATATTAAATGTACGTTATCTTTTTTAAACATGATAAGATTTGGGCAGCGTACCCATCGATGAGAGCAGCCTTGGCTGTGCGGGATTTACCCCCCTTGGTTTCATCAGTATCAAACCAGGCGGTCACATCAAACCTCTGTTTGGGAATTTGCCTAGAACAGTTTTCCCCTCCATGGAGAACCTTCCAGAAATTTTCCAGTCCTTCTCCTGTTTAAAAACACAACTTTGGATCAGAATAAATATTGTTGCAATAACTAACCTTTTAAAAAATTGCGCAGATACATTCACACTTGGTTATATAATCTATTCCCGTTTTAACCTTATTATTAAAAATAAAGATCAAAACATTTTCCAAGAAGAATCTTGCCACGTATAACAGAAATGACACAATTAAACATACAGTTCCCAAAAAACATACAAAATATTAATAATATTGTAGTATAAAATATCAGTTTGGATCATTGCTGTATCATTGCCAATAATAAGTAGAAGAATACATTACTGTATCATCTGCATACAATAAATCCATATATATATATAAATCAATATATATACATACATATATATATATATATACACACATATATATGTTTCATTACTGTCAAAGTCTTTCTTTGATTTATTATATGCAGATGCAACAACCAGGAAATACAATTAACATGGAATCAGGAAATACATTTAATGATTCAAAGTGCAGATTTTTTCTAGCATAGAATTATTTCATCCAAAACAAAATCACAGCATTTTCCTTTTTTCTTTAATATTAGTGGAACATGATTGCATTCTTTATATATATATGTATATATTTAAATTTATATATCTTACCCCCAGGAAAATTGCACCCAATTCCCACCACTGCGATGCTGTCTTCATGTACCTCCATCCTCACTGTACATCACTGTGAGACAAAAAAAAAAAAAAAAAATCAAATCTTTACTGCTTTTTGCCTCCACTTTCACATTTCTCCCCAGCCATCGCCGCAGTCAACCATGAACACTTGTCAATTGACAGTTTAGTCACGCACCGTGCCGTCCCTACTCATCCATACTGTACTCCACCCCGAGAGATTTTGTTAGCGTGCGCAGCCGGCCGTGCTACTTATAGGCAGCTACTCGCTCCTTATTAAACATTAATGATTGGCTGTTTACGTGGCCATGGAGATGAAGGAGCTCAGTGCACACCTTTATGGTGCCTCGCTAATGATTAGACCAGGTTTAATGAGTAGTATCAATGTGTAAACCAACAATAGTGTAGGTCTGGTTTCATTGCAGCTTATCAAAGCCATATAACAACTGTAACAACCAACCACTCAAAACATTCAGGGAAACGAGTTTAACAAAATTTTAGGGGGAAGTTATTTTCTCTTGTATGCAAATCAATTTAAAAAATGTCCATTAAGGAAGTGTTGTTCCGAAAAACAGGTAGTGTCACGTTAGGTCATCACTGTTTACACTGCACACTGTGTTGAGTAAGAGATTGGCCTGATTGATGAGTATGAGTTTTCATTAGTTGATACATGTTCAAAGTCCGGGTCAAGGGTAAAAACCAGCTCGCTGATCAGCTTTATGTGGTCCAATGCTATTTTATTAGCCTTAATTCCTTCATGGTCTTTATTGTATCTTAAACATAGACGCTGTGTGTTGAACAGGTAGTTCAAATCAAATCATCGTTTTATCAGTCTGCAGCTAGTAGAAAAAATGTCACCATCAACAAGTTTGGTTCATTTACCTGCAAATGCTTGATGAAGCTAAATTTCTTTTCATACAACTTCCTCATGACTCAGACTTTGTTTCAGTCTCTTTATTGATACATAGAAATCATGTGGAGATCTGTGTTTTTATGACTTTACTGCGTTTTCTAGCAAAGATCGTCTGAAACTCAGGACATACCTCACAAAGCTCCTCCTCCTACTGTTCTGATAAAACCAAAACTGTTTTGTTTTTTTTACTGTAATTTTTTATTCGAAGATAAACCAAACATCGTAAGTTGACGTTTCAAAAACGAGAAAATACAGAAATACGGAAACAAGGAGTGTAACCTGTAGGAAAATATAGCAGCTGGAGTTGGTAAACAAAGATCAGCAGAACAGTTTGGTCCACTGTGAATTAGAAACGTAAACAGTAAAATTACTGCTCTGCCTGTTATGGAAAATACAGCAGTAAACAGACAGTTAGTTAATACTATTGTGTGTTTTTGAAAGTGTGGATTTTGTCAAAACAATCCACATCAGGAGGTGACAATGACCTCCAGGTCACCCCCCCTCCCCATCATGAGGTCATATCAAGCAGACGACAGCTCAGATCCCACAACTTCTCCGCCATGATGTCATCTTTTGCTGCAGTTGAGCATTTGGCAGGAGCACAGTCACTGAGGACAAGGACAAAAGAGACGCATTAAAGGATGATTACATTTTCAAAATAAAACATCATCTATGGACCACATTGGGGTCCCCGCACCAGAGTTTGGACACTGCATCTGCAGTATGTTGTCTCACACATTGATCAGTACCTGTAGTAGCCACCACTCTCGTTCTCCAGAGTGGGCTCCACAGCACAGTAAATGGAGGTCTGGGCTCCCTGGACCGAGTCTTTGGTGAAGGGACTGACCAGCTTCATGGCGAGCTGTCGAGGGCTGCTCAGGTGACGCCACAGGTCGGTCTGGACCACACCAGGGTGGACAGCATAGACTGTTACGCCTGTGCCTGAGCAAAAAGATCCAAATCAAATATCAATAAAATATTGACAGAAGGAGTGAAAACCCGAGTTCTCCCCGAGGGTCGTACCTTCCAGTCGTTTGGTATTGACAGAAGTAAAAACCCGAGTTCTCCCGAGGGTCGTACCTTCCAGTCGTTTGGCCAGTGAGCGTGTGAACAGGACGTTGGCCAGTTTGCTCTGACTGTAGGCTTTAACATCGCTGTAACTCTTCTCGCTGTTGATGTCGTCCAGATTAATGACGCCCCACGAGTGGGCCATAGATGACAGGTTAACAATCCTGGCCGGGGTCGAACGTTTAATCAGGTCAAGCAGCAAATGCGTCAACAAGAAGTGACCTACAAGACAGCGCGTTGTAAAATTCATATCAATATTTAACCCTTCAGTTTTATGGTCTTCCAAACATGTATTTGTCTGTAAGATGTGTTTCCTGGTCTTTGGAGGTCATTTCTGAAGTAATCATAAAATGTTATAATGAACGGCTAATATGAACTTTAGTTTTTGGCTCAGTAGATCAGCTGAGTTTATTTGTTGGGAGTTTTCATATATTTATAAATATCATGTAATGTGTCATGTGTTATAAACCATTTTGCCATTCAAATTTGATTTGAGTTCTCTGATTTAAAAATATGTATATAAAGCCAGAAATTACAGTCTAACACCACTGATTCATATTAAAAAAAAAAGAATTGTATTCATGCAATATATAATTATGTTTCCTTTTTATTTCCTTACAGTAAGCTGTGTTCTAAATGGTTTCCGTTGTACTTTATCTTGTGTGGATTAAACTTTTACAACAACAAGGAAGTGTTAATGAATCACAGAAGAAACAAAGAATATGTCACCTTCTAAAAGTGCCCAAAAAATAAAAGATCTTCCTCCACGGAACTGTACTTTAGCTTAGTCATGGCTTTTGCCTGTAAATATTTTATAACCAATGCTTCAACACAGAAAAATCAGAAAAGGCATAACTGAGGTCAGAAAGAGTGCAGTGTGTTGAGACACGGGGATAAATGACCGTCTACGTCAGGTCTGTGAAAAAGTACATGACTGAAAACTCCTGTTCAGTGTGAGCCAGGATTTATTGATTGGTTCACAGAACTGTAAACATTGGCCTTCCCCATATTTACCCAAGTGGTTGACACCGATCTGCATCTCAAACCCATCGACTGTTTTCTGATAAGGACACATCATCACTCCAGCGTTGTTGATGAGGATGTTGACCGCCGGCTCCTCTGGATTAAAAAACCAAAAATATCAGAAATTTAGAGGTTTGTTTTCCTTATATGCCACTTTTGCCATTTGCAGCTGCTTGCAGCCTCCCTGACCTCGGTTGATGACTTCAGCAAACTGTCTAATTGACTTAGTATCTGCCAAGTCCAGAGTTTTACATGTGACGTCACTGTTGCCGGATCTTTCGATGATTTCTTTCACAGCGGCCTCGGCTTTGGACATGTCCCTGCACGCTATGATGATCTTTGACCCTACAGATAAAACAAATAGCCGACAATTAGAAATTAAACCGTGTGAAGGGTCAACAGCACCCTCTCACGGCCAACTATGTCAACTACAGATTTTTCTGTATGAACAGTAGGCAGGGTAACAATAAAACATCACAATAAAGTACATTTTGCTAAGTAGATCTCAACATTACTTCTCACTGTGTGAATTACATCTGGCATAAGAATAAAAATAGAACTGAAAAACTAGAAAAGACATGTTGAACATACAACTGAGAGCGCTATACAACTTTTTTTCTTCACAATATTTCGTAATCCAGTTGACGTAATGTGCGCGATGACGCAACAAAACATGACTAAGTAACATGGGAGAAAGGCTAAGGATGATCCAGCTCTTTGAAAATGAGATTTATTCGGTGTAAAATCTAACTTTAGTTTTTAGTCCAAGACAAACCCACCTCTTTTAGCCAAGTCTACGGCCGTTTCTTTGCCAATGCCAGTGTTGGCACCGGTGATTAGAACAGTTTTACCCTTGAGTTGTGCCTCAGAAGACCAAGGAGTCCGGAAGAAATTTCTAGGAAATTGAGAAATTTTAGTGTCTCAACCCGTAAAAAAACCCAAAGACAATAAGATCAACGGATGAAAAACACACATTTATGTACAATTGTACGACACACGCATATATTTGAAAAACAGCGGATAAAACAAAGTTCACTTGGGGTCATACGTTAATGTGATATGACTTTATTTAGCTTTAAATCTTAGGACTACGCATTTTATGAACACAAATAAAAAACAAACAAACCTCACCGTAAAGCTTGCATTTTATTGTTGTTTTACAGCGTCCACACTACGTAATAATAATGTATGAAATAGGTTTTTAAAAGAAATTAGGCTGAAGTACTTTTCACACAGCCAAAAAACGTCAACAGACTTAAACTTGGTGATGCGGAAGTGTCACAAGAACAGATTTACTCATATTTGATAGACGGAAACTTTAGCCCTTAGGCTGAAAGAGCGTCATTCTACAGCGACGCTGATTGGATAATAGAGGAGAATGCGACCGCCCTGTGTATTGTATTTCTTCATTTCTATTGGCTACGTCAGATGGGCGGGATCTTCAGATAACGCTGAAGCTGTATTAAACTCGCCCAGATTTGATTGTCTTTTTTTCACAAGAGCCTGTTTTTTTGCTCTCCAGCAGGTGGCACCCAAACACCATTTACCCATTAAAAAAAAAACCTCTTTAAAACCAGTTCTACAAAGTGACACCAGACCGGCGCTGCAGTGTTTTGTCTGTCGACAGATGAACAGGTTGGTGTTTGGGTAAATCATGTCCTTGGCTGAAGTGTCACCTGCAGGGCGGAAACACAGTGGAACGGACTAAATGTCAGCATGAATGGTTGATTCATAGTCAACAGTTATCACTGCGGCACAGTGGGACTGCACTGTGGGCAGAAGGTCATTAGATCAGGAAACACGGCAGCGGTCATCAGCTGATTGTGTGTAAGCAAACATTTCCTTCCCCGTTTTTTTCCTGCCGGATCAGTCGGTGTGAGTGTCATGTCATGTTGGGTTCTGAAACAACTGTGTCTGTGTGTATAGAAATATGTAGAACAGCAAACAGAAACACGTTGATATTAATAACATCATCTACACAATAACATATCTCACAACTGTAACAAATTTTCTTTTTTATCAACACTGGAATGTAAGCTGTTGACATCCTAGGCTACATGGCAACATTGTCAACAGTACGCTGAAGATGCCGACATGGAATTTTTACTCTGATGTTGCGGAAATTATTTCTAAATTCACAGGGACCAAATCAGGAATTTTGATGTGAACTTAAATTCATTTTCTTCTTCTTGAAATAACCTTAAAATCCCATTCCATAATGCAAACACTAAACTATTAATAGGGTGACAGTATTTATTGTTCTCTACTCATGCCTTGATCTCACATGTCCATGTCCAAAACCCTTAGACATAACAGTTTAGCTAACGCTATTACTGGCGCCACATGCCTGGTTTTCCAGCAGCCATGGACAATGGATCTGCAGGAGGACGCTTTCAATAAACTACAAGAACAATCCATTAGCTATAATGGGCTGTTTACTTTAGCAGATGGAGAGGATGCAGCGCAAAAAGAAGAAGAAAAAGAAAACAAATAATCTCAGGCCGGGCCTTTATGTTGAATACAATTGTTCCCATAATAATGCCATGTAATTCCATGTCCATATGGCAAACACTGTGTGTTGTGACAACAGCAAAATGTCATTAATCTTGTTCATACTCGGTACATATGGTAATGTCTGTTTAACAAATAACCATTCACGTGATTATAAATTATACAATTTATAATGAAAAAGAAATGGCAGGAATTTTCCAGAAAGATCTTCTGATATCACAAAAGTTATATCCACCAATATGATGTTAGAGTTAAATAATAAAATAAAAGAAATAGAGCTAGAGGTTAGCTAGTAGCCAACTGAAATCTAGCTAAAAAAACAAGGGCTTGAATGACTATAATTCTATAGTTAGAGAACAAAGAGGGGTTTTTTAAAAGCTGCTCAAACTGTATGGTTTTCTTCATATTTTAATGTGTAAAAAAAAAATGGCAACACAGTCAGACAGATGTCGTCATTCGACTGAAGCCAAAGTTCTGGAAGAATAAGGCCTTCATTAGAAGGAGTCTAAACCGGGACAGTTTATAAACACTGACGTTGCAGGACTCAGATTTCAGTCAATCACACTCTCTGTAAACATGGTCATTTTCAGAATGACTGGGTTCAAGAAATGAGAATCTCATTTTTCTGCTCTTCCACTGTGGGTCAAAGCTGGTAGAACAAGCAGCTCCAGTGTTTATGTTGTAACAACGACACGTCTCCGATGGTTCATCTGACTCTAACGCACGCACACGTTATTGAGATATTTGATTTATAATGTTTATACTTCAAATGTTTGTTCATTTTGCTCTTCCTCCAAAAAAACCCTGCAGATTTACTTCAGATTGACCTTGGGTGTGAATGTGAGTGTGAATGGTTGTTTATATCTGACTTCAAAAGATAAATACACCAATGTTATTGAGATATTTGATTTATAATGTTTATACTTCAAAATGTTTGTTCATATTTTTAAGCTCAGAGAGTTTTCATCGTCCTCCTGAATCAAACTTGCAGACGTAAGCTCCCAAAAAATATTCCACTACTCCGAGGGTTTTGTGCCACAATGTTCTGCCAGTTTCCGTCCCAGCTTCAGTCCGTCCCTCCTGGTCCACCCACCGTGTCTTTGTATCTGCTTTCTCACGGCCGTAGCCTCCTCTGTTACACAACACCTCCATTTTCCCGGGTCACTTCTCCGATCTCCGCCGGCTCTCGCCGCAGATGCAACGTTTCCCAGAGATCCAAATCTGCACATTCATAATTACAGCAGTTATTTTGTTCTTCTTTTTTTAAACACACAGAGGACAGGAACTCTCCAGTGTCCACTGCAACACATGGTAACATTTATCCCCGACACACAGCAGCTCCCTGGACATCAAACTAAAGGGTGATTTAAAGGTTGATTCTTTTTGCAGATTTCGTTCAGGTTCCCTAGAGTTATTAATTGTTACGCAACAAATTCTATAAAGACGCTGAAGTCTAATGTAAGGAAGCTTTTTTTTGGTCTATTTTCTACAAGTTCTGCCTCTGAACCAGGCCTCTGTCCAAAGTCGAGCAGTGACATCTGTTGGAGAAGCTACAGTGGCCCCTCAGGTCACACATTTGAAAGTCCTTCTCCTGGTCTCGGTGATCTGTGCGTCCATCTTGGATCTAAATCAGGTGTAACGTTTGTACCCAAACATATTAACCTGTTGTGTGTTATGAGTTCAAACACTCACGTCATCTGCTTCATCAGGAAGGATGTGGTTGGACCGTCACCACCCGATGGCTAGTTGTGCCTTTCAGCTAACATTTAGCTTCGTGGTGTATTTATCAACAACATTTGATTTTTTTTCCTGGCTCTTTTTGTAAGATTTCAGTTATTTCTGCAGTATTTAATACAGTTTCTGCTGCTAACTTTCAAGCTCTTGTTAGTAACCTACTTACTGAGTTTACACTGAGTTTAAAGACCACGTAACAGAGAAAAAGTAAAGTAAAACATCAGCAAGTCAGTAAAACATCAGAAAAAGTAAAGTAAAACATCAGCAAGTTATGCATTGGAATCTTTTTTTTTTTTCATTTTTCCATAATATATATTCCAGCCACTGCTGAGCTACAATTAACCAGCGCTTAACCAGAACATTTTGTTTACCAACCAAACCCAGTAGAACAACAACCGTTAACAGGTGATAAATCACCACCTGTTTGACCAATCATTGACGTCATCTTTCTGGCAGCTTCATCTCAAACATCCTTGGTTCTGTGTCTCAGATATTATTCAGCAAAAACATCGACCTCATTTCTGCCTTTTGATCTGAACCGTTTCATCTCCTGGGGCTGAGCATCATCACAGATTAGCCACAACATCAGTCAGTGCTGTGTGTGTGTGTGTCTGAAGGTGAGTCAGTGGAGTCTGTTATGAAACAGGCCTCGGTGCTATTTTTGGACCCGGTTCTGGGCAGCACTGAAGGCCTGGGCAGGCAGAATATGATGTTTCATTGATCATTCAAGTCAAGTGTTTGACTGCTGATTCTGAAAAACCTTGGATACTATGTCTGACCTTTGACCTTTAATGTCTTAAAATAAACCGAACTTGTTCAGAAAGAGTTTTTTTTTTTTTTGCCACAAAAGCCAGACACATACTCTCACAATCTCACATGTGAGTGAGTCAAAGAAAGGGACAATGAGTCCAGGGAAAGTAGTAGCTAATAATTAACTAAAACCCACCTACATTTTTAGGAAAACAACAGCAAGCGTTGATGTTATTGATTACATTTGTGCTACATGTTAGACATATGTACAGCCATTTTTAGCATTATGCTAAAAGATAATGTAAAGTTTGCTTAGGAATTCACCAATCAGTGGCTAGAAAAGTAGCTATATATTTAGCAAGAATGTAAAGAAAGAAAAGTTGCCATATATTTAGCAAGAATGTAAAGAAAGAGTAGCTAGCAATGAGCTGAAACCCACGTGTGTTTATAGGATAAGATAACAGTTGTTAGCTAAAATATGGCTGATATTAGCCAGAGGTCGAAGCAAGAGTGTTAGTTGTTAGCCATAATTCGCCGTAGCCGACTGTGTGAACCAGACCACTGTTTGCTGTTTGACTGTTTGATGATCTTTCCACACAGTGAACTTTTTACTGTAACCTTTGACAACACAGTCATGTAATAGATCTACTACTATCTTTACACATCCTCGCTTCATGACACCTTTACTCTCCTTGTCACTTTGTCATCTTTGCCAAACAGCCACTGTGGACGTCAACGTTAGCATTTCTCCTTCATTTAATAGAGACAAAATGTTTAAATTGCGTTAAAGAGTAACTTTGTTCCCCCTGCAGACCACCAGGGGCAGCTGGTGTGAACTGTATCCAGTGTCGGGCACTGGGACAGAGTCATTAATCCTTCGCGGCCGAAACTTCAACAGTAAATTGACTGTTGACGGATTGAGGAACAGGGCTGGATCAAATTCAGGATCCAGACTCCTGTGAACTTACAAATATATAAATAACAGGAATCTCAGACCCACGGGAAATACAAAAGGATAATAACAAAAAAAGCACACAAATGGTCAAAAAAATAATTAGATCACATAATTAAGTCCAAAATAAGTTTATATTTGGCTAAAGGTTAGCCAGGTTATCAAAGTCAAAAACAAATTCTTCTAAATGTGTAACTGTTTTATCCAGCAGTTTTTATCTAAAACATTTTCAACATTCACCTCAGGTTTAAAGTATTTATGTTGAATGTGAGACTTCAACAACAAGAGGCCGAGACCATAAAGAAACAGAGTAGAAACAGAGGGAACATCGTGTACGTCTGTCGACTCCTACAGTTCACGTGGACACCGTTACAGAACACAGGCTAAAACGAAGACGAAGAAACTTTGGCAGCAGCAGAAATTATAATTAAATGACGTGAGAAAACACTGAGAGGGAGTGGAAGAATGGAGCGGCTCAGTCTTTCATGTCTGCGACCTCTGAACCCTGTCATTTCAAACAGACCTCCTCCACAAAATAAACAGGGCAGAGATGATTAATTACCCACAAGTCCACCGGGGGAGCCTCATTTACATTCATGGACATGGGTTATTTCATAAGAATTGGTGACGACTGGACACAAATCTACAGGAATATTAGTTTTAATCATGGTACTTTTCAAGGTCTGTCGTTTGGGTTAAATAATTGTTAAGCAGATTTTAAATTTCAAATGTAAAAATTATAAAAATAAAACAAAAAGAAGAACATGTACTTGTAGATATAACAAAAATAGAAGTAATCTTAAACTTTACCTAAAATATTTGACTGAGGAAAAATTCGTAGCTTAATGTTAGCCAATTTAGCTAACCTTGTCAACAAAACCACTAATTATTAGAAATAGATACATTTGAAAAATAGAGAATTCAAAACATTGTTGACGCAAAGAAATTGAGTTAACCAAGTTAGCCAAAACTGCTTAGCTAGAATTTTAACCAAGCTCATCTCAAAGCTAAGGTAGCCCTTTGATAGCTAAATATTAGCCACATTGATAAAATTAAATCATTTCACAGGAACAAAGTAAAATAATTTTAATTTTACATTTTTTCTTTTATCGTTACAAAAACGTAGTTAAATAGTTCTTGTCCAGAGCCTTACAGGGTCAGCCGCAGGTTACCGCCTGTAGGGGCAGTGCAGCTGTGACCGTCCACCACATCTGGTCCGCATTTGTTGACAATCAGTGAGATATTTGTGTAAACAATGTTAAATGGTGGACATGTGTGTTTGACTGAAGCCGTGGTGAGGCTCCGTTGTTCTGGGTCCGTTGAACTCCAATTGGCTGCAGCAGGAAACAGCTTTCATCCAGTTCTCTCACGGAAAATGTACAGTACAACTACACGAGGTCTCACGTAATCCTAATTTGCATTTAACCCGCTCTAATACAGATTAGGGAGATTAAAGAGCTGCCATGGTGAGACCAGAGCCACAGAAACACCAGTAGCTGCTGCTGTTGTTTTCTTTTTTCTTCCTAAAAACAGCAGAGTGTCCCTGATCTTTAACCCGGACATTCCATACCAGGCTGCAGAATCGTACCAGCAGTAACGTCCCCACATACTGTCCTCAGTCCTGGGAGTAAGTACTGTGGATAAGAACAGCTACAAACATCTACACGTTTCCAGGCAAAACTCTTCTTCTCTGCTCGCTTTTGTCCAAAGTCTGAGAAGAGCAAACAGACCCCCCGTCCCCTCCCGTGTCCCCCCACCATTCATGTAACACATACAGATGAAGACGACACAGAGGAACAGAAGACTGGACTCTGGGATAAGGAGAGCTGAGCCAGAGCACGGAGCTGACGGGGAGGTGACAGAGTTCATATGCATTTGAATACGCTCGAAGAAAACCAGGAAGCGCTGGTCGTGGACTATTGAGATTCCAGCCACGTCCTGGAGCTGGAGCGACGTCCCCGTCCCGACACCAACACAAGTCTTCACTGAGGAATCTGCAGTATAAACACTTGGGGTTTTGTCAACCGCTCGTCAAAGACCTCTCAGAACTCCACTCCGCTCTGATTTCCTGTGGGTTCGAAGATTTTTTTTTTGTCCTGTCCACACCGTGATTACGTTTACCCCAGAAACTCTCTTTATTTTAATAATAATAATTTGAACTTTATTGATCCCAAACTTGGGAAATTGAACTTCTGACCAACACACACACACAGTCTAGGAAAGGAAAACAGCCACCATTTGCATTTTCACCACGCTGACCAGAAAATAAGTAACTTGTGGTCCACACCTGGCCCACAGGCCACCCTTTGAGGGCCACTGACATACATTTTTGTTTCCTTTGCTGGTTTTTTTTACACGTTGAAATAAAAACAATCTTTTAGCTGTTGACACTTGGTGTTTTATACCACACTCTGAGCTAATATTTCTTCATAAACAGGTCGTGGTGTCGCCACTTCACACTCAGCTGCTGACAGCGGCAGGTGGTCTGCAGAGAGGAGGTGCTGACGTGGTCATATCAGCTGACAGTCTGCACACAGGTTCCAGGTCCGTATCTGCGGCTCCTCTGAGATTTCAGCCGTTCGTAGACAATCCTCAGAGTTGGCCTGGAATCAGTGCCTCCCAGTGCAGAGGGTACAACGGGGGCTGTTTGTGGGAGGACTTGGCAGACATGACAATCTCTCACCCATGTGCCAGCAGCCAACGTGTTCCAAGTTTAAGGCTTTACCGTCACAACCACCAAACGAACCACAGCCAATTTCATCAGGTTTCATAAAGGTTTGACTCAGAGAGGGTGATTTTCATCATTGTCATTTTCTTTTCCAATTTATTTGCCAATAATGAAGAATAATTATGGGCAGATGGTGGTGCTTCTGATAGAAGGGTGGGTTGGGGGGGTGTTGGGAGGGGTCCAATCTGTCAGGGTTTGATGAAAAGAAACACTGGGGCAATTGTTGAGTCCTTATATAAGACGGAGCTGCAACTGAGGCTGAAACTGAGACCCAAGGTGTTGACCAGCAGAGGTCGACTCACTTGAACTTTGCCAATAAAAAAACTTTACAGGTATATTTTGAGGGTTCCCAATGTAGGGGGCACAACCCAGCTAGGGGTTCAGCATTTGTCATAGTGCCACAGAGGGGAATAGCAATTTCTGCAATTACCTGAATGAATGACAAGTGCAGAAAAACAAAGATGTATGGTCTCAATTTTTTGTTGTTTTGGGAAGTGATATTTTGATGGTTCCCAAAGTAGGGGCGCAACCCATCTAGGGGTTCAGCATTTTCTTCTTTATGCGTGCCACAGAAGAGAAATGGCAATTTCTGCAATTACCTGAATGAATGGTTTTAGATGGACATTTGGATCCACTATAATGGGATGTCTTTCCCCAGAACCCATCTGTCACTCTGACCGCACACACTGTAAATGTCTCATCCGTTGTGCACCACTGCCAACTACTTCTCTGCCACACCTGACTTATGAACTACAGTATATCACAGTATGTTGTACTTTTTTCGTCAACAAATCTTCTTTAAGTTTTCATTATTTCCGATCACGATCACCGTCAGACCTTATTAACAGATTTAGGCCGTTAGACGTCAACGTGTGATTGCTAACAGTTTCCAAGAGAGGAATTTGTTGAAGGGCATTTGTTTTCCAGGAAGTGACTCTAAAGCTACGTACATCCATCCACTTAACCACAGCTGCTACGTAGAGTCATCTGTTATTTATACCCACACACCAGTGCAGCTTCAGGCCTGGTCACACAGGTCAAAGTTCAGCTCCTTCCTCTCAGAGTAGGTTCTCCAGTCTGAGCTGAAGACTGAAATGTGATAATCCTGTTAAACCGGCCTCGCTTCACGCAGTCCACGGTCAGTGAGCTGGCACTCTGCTGGCTGTTGACTGACAAAGGCTGCCACTGTTTATGAAAGGAGGCTTTGGATTAAAGGCGCTGCCGGGCGCTACATTAAGATAATGAGATTTACTAGCTAAGGGCAGATCATATCGAAAAGACCTCGATATGTAGGTAAGAAGGAGAGACATAACGTGTTAGCGTGTTAGCACAACGATTTTCATTGTTTCTTCGTGGATTATTTAGCATCGGACAGGATTTAGTGGAAAACCCATTAGCTTTAGCACCATTACAACAAATTAACCATTCCACAAATGTTGAGCTCTGCTGATTTATAATCACCTCCAGAGAAGAAGAAAAAACGGTCAAGTTAACGTAAAGGACAGATTATGTTTCTATAATCTGTGTAATCCCCACATAGAGTTTGTTATGACTCAAAATATTGATCGTTTGGTCCGTTAGCCGTGAAGGAGGATTTCCCTCAGGTAGAAGACGTTTTACAGTCTCCAAGTTGGACTGAACTCAGGTCACATCAGAACAGGTCGTAACCTTTCATCTACATATTCAGACTCTGCCGAGCAACAAACACTTCAACAGTGACCTTTAACCTCCGACCCTCAGTGTCTAATCTGGTAAATGTTGACATAAAATGGACAAATTTGTGATTTCACTGGAGGTCACTTTCTCTTAAACACACAAACCAGTTACTGTGCTTTTTGAGTCAGTTCCTTCAGTGAGAAGAGTGTCGGTGACCCCTGGTCTAAATACTAGCATGAAGTACTGCAGTAGTAAAGTGAATATTTTATCTCTTGTTTCTCTCTTGTCCTGCAGGTGTAAATCTTCCCTCGACCATAAAACACTGTCAGTCCTATGTCATTTATTTTAGGTGTAGATATTTACACTTGTTTCTGCCCCTATCCTTCATAATTACCACAAACACACACACACACACACACACACACACCTCCACCCTGCATCCCATAAACTCACACCGGCCGCTCCTTCACTCTCTGATGTACAAACAAATGTTTGTGTGAGCGTCTCCTCCTCCTCCTCCTCCTCTGACCTTATGTCACTCATTTACCCACCAGTGTGTGTCCATATGTGGGTCTCGGGCAGACTGTGTGTACGTTGCATACGAGGAGGCGGCCGTGCTTTCTCACGGCTAAAAGGGAGGAAGTGAGACCACAAACCCACAGGTCTGTCGCTCTCTCTCTGTTTTCACTTCAAACGCTGCAGGCGCCGCCGTTTGCTTTGCCAACAGCGTGGACACAGTCTGTATCTGGTTTGTGGTTCAATGAAGGTGACGGCGTCAGCGTAGTGGGGTCAAAGGAGAGGTGGAGCAGCAGGAGTGGACCCTCCACTCATGTCCTTCTATCCTACCTCTGTGTTAGGAAGTTGTTGGCAAAAATACAATGTGTTGAATTTGAGGTTGAAGGACTGGAGTGGGAGCAACATCAGCAGCAACGCAACAACCAGTGCGACCAGTTTCCTGATTCCTCTGAGGAATTGTACGACAGCACAATCAACTGCTATCACCGTTATCTGCAGCTCATTACAGAGAGGAAACGCACATTGCATAACTTTAGACTCTACTGTCTCTGAATGTTTTTTTTTTGTTCTTTTTTTTTCCCACTGAAGTCATTGATAAAGCTCTATTTTTGTTTATCTGTTAAACTAATATTGTTCAAGGCTGCAGGAGCAAATCTGACCTCGGACCTCGTGACTGGTCTGTTCTTATCTCACAAGGTCTTTTGCACGCTTTATTGCACACACACACACAGAAGTCCAGAGTTGGATCATCAGCCTTGACCCGTGACGCCTGTGTCGTGTCTTTCGTTTGTTGTCTTTGCAGCAAATCTGTCATTTCATATTCTTGACTCCGGCTCTGGGGTTGAAGGCTGTGAAGTTGCTGATTATGTGAATGGACTTTGGTATAAAAAGGTGAGAAATTTACTCAACATATTCCATATCACATATATCACATATCCTCTTCCAAAATAATAATAATCATTACAATAACAATAGTAATTTAATAACTTACACAAAACACCAAGGACAAAGTAAAAAAAAAAACCCATTTACATCAAAAACATTTACATCAAAGAGAAATCCTTCTTTTTTTTTGGAAATCCTTATTTTTTTTTTTTGTCCTTGTTTTAACCTCCTGAAACTGTGCGTCTTCACGGTTCGTGGACATGTGGGCAGTGTTTTGTCCCCGTGGAGGGAACATACAGTCACTCTGATAACATACTGTATGTTATCACAGCCTCAACATACTGTACAGCATGGAGCCAGACGTCTGCTGCGGTCGCACATCAACCACACCCTGCATGTCCAGCATCAGATACAGTATGTTGTTGTTTCTTCACCACTGTACACACACACACACACACACACACACAAATGGTTCCGACTGCAGCAGCATTTCAGACTTTGATCATTTACAGACCATTAGAACAGTGGTTCTCAAACTGTGGTATGCGTACCAACAGTGGTACGTGAGGGAAATTAATATTTTCACCCTTACGTTTTCAACTGAATAAATCTGAAACATACCATGAACAATTAATACAACATTTAAACACAAACACCTCAGAGAGATCGGTGTTTTCTCAGGTGGTACAGAGGAGAAAACGCTGGAGAACCACTGCATTAGAACATACAGTCAAACTGCAACAGTAACGTTTTCTCCGAGGTCAGAATCCTGGCTAACTATTAACCACGACAGAACTGATTGGTCAGGGTTTTGGCTGAAGAATGCATGAACTGAAGTCGTGATGAGCATTGTTTAAGAAGCAGAAAAAAAAAAAAAAAAATTCTCTCTCTCTCCCTCTCTGACCACGATGTGTCTGATGCATATTTTCCGCCGACTGTATCAAGTTTTCAGCTGCCCACATGATTTAAAAACCAAATATATTCGGTGTGTTTACATTCACAGATAGTCACTTCTGTTTCCTTTTTTTTTTTTTTTTTAGTGTGTTTACGTTCAGACACTCGCTTCTGTTTCCTTTTTTTTTTTTTCCTTTTTCCTCTCATCACAGCTGAGAAAGTGTGCGGACATTTTTACAGCTGGCAGCTTTAATGCATTATTACTGCAGTGTAATAGTGTTGGAGCTGATTCAGCGCAGATGACAGTTTAACAGCAGGACTTGTGTCAGTGATGCTGCAGAAATAAGCAGAAGTGACAGCTGACTACGAAGGAGTTGTTGTCATTTCTTGGTAACTTTATGCAACCCTTGAGTCTAAGAGTTCATGTAGTGGAAGTATTGCATGGTTTTAACTGTGTCAACTGTATCACCTAAAAAAAAAAAAAGAAAAAAAAAGATAATATTTAACCTTTTTCTATATAAAAGGTATGCAAATATTTAACATTATAAAGTTTTAAAACTACACAGAACATCAGTATATCATCGGCATAGAGTTAAACTCATGTAGGTGAATCATTTTATCCAAGAAAAAACAAAAAAAAAAAAACAGGAATTGAGGGTTTTTTTTTCCTTAAATAAACTCTTTTATTTGAGTAAAACATTAACTGTGTTGACAGTTGTTTTTTTTTAGGTATCTGTTTGAGAGCAAAACATTGTTGGTCAGAACCAGGTTTTTGGTTTGATTTGTATATTAATTTGCATTTGGGTTCATAACATAAGCAGCTTCTTGTTTCACAGGCTCGGTGTGTTGGGCGTGCGTGTGAGATGAGTATCATCGCATCATGAGGTTTAGAAAAACAAAATCTCTTCCTTCTCACGTCTGTTTTAAACCCATCTATCAGCTCATCGCCTCGACACACACACACTTGTTGTACTGAACGTTTCCTCCACTTCAGTTGAAGATGTTTGGTCTTAGCTCAGCTGCAGTATCTTGGGCGTGATCTCCAACAGATCGGCTTCTACTCAAGGCATTTCCTTCCCTGTGTACATTAAACGGCGCCAGACAAGAAACCCTTTGCAGATGCAGAGATTCTGCACAAATATTGGTGATTGTTATGACGTTCAGACCAAATGCTGGTGCGGTGACAGACGTTCTGATGAGCTCTTATACGTTTGGAATGTTTATCAACCGCTGAGGTCTGACGTGTTAAATGTAGAGATTAGAAGCGTAGATAGAGGTTGGACTTGAATCTACATGCAGGCGATGATCAGGGTCACAGTTAAAACTTTCATTCAAAGAAAAACTAAACATCAACACCAGACACCTGGACCAAAACCAAAAAGATCAGCTTCAACACCAACACTCACACAGAAATGAACCCACACAATTGGTTTTAAAGGAAAACAACAACCTGAAGAAACAGAAAATCAAACCCAGAAACACAACCACACAGCCAACATCAAACCCACTGAAAGGCTGTAGTGAGAGTGAGACAGCTTTTATAGCTGTGGAGCTAACGAGTGGATGAACGGCAGCTGAGCAGAGCTGGAGCTGAAGCAGCAGCAGGTGAAGACAATGAGCCGAACGATGGCGTTCAACGGAGTCTGTTTCAACGTCGGACTGAATCAATATTAAAGTCTTGAATCCTGAGCCTGAAATATCTATGAAAATGTTTATATATATATTTATGTGTTTGTGTTTTAGAGCAAATGCTGAAATGACATTGAATTCTCAATCCAACTTTTATTTCCTAATCTAGTGATGTGTACAAAGACTCTACTGTTACATGTTTCGTAACAGACTTTTTAAAGTAAGGGTATGTAAGACCTGTTTGGTGTTACCATCAGGTCCCTTAAATACCATTACTGTAGAAAAAGAAACTTTTTAAAAATAAATAATTTTTGTTTTTTAATTTCATTTTCTTTTAACAGGGTCAATGTCTCTGATCTGGATTTACAAGAGAAGCTGAACTCATTTTAACCTGTGTATTGCATCATAACTGTGGTTCTTGTGGTTTTCTGCTGAACTGTAGAATGACTATAACATACTGATTGGAGTAACCAGGACGTTTTGTCCATTTTTTTTCCCGTTACACTGTTATTTTTCTGCTGATGGTGTCGTCCTCCCAGTGTTGGGTAAGACGTGAAAATATCACAGACAACGACTGACTGCCGTGACTTCAAAGGTTCTAGTTTTTAGATAAAATTGTATTTTACAAATAATGACATTCCCTAAGAGAATTACTGCTGGAAATTCATTAGGGTTGACAAAGTATCGTGATAAGGTGATAAGGAACACGATCCTAAACAAACCCATGGATCTAAAAGCCACACTAACTGGAACTTTCTGTACTCAGAGACTCAAAGAGGTTGGTAATGGGAGAGACGTCAGGAGGAAACCCTACTCCCGTGGGGAATGTCAGCCATCACAGTCTACTGAGAGAGAGAGAGAGCA